ACATTTCTATCAGAATTCTGGTTTTCTGTGTTCCCACCAGAATTACTTATCAATTTTAGCTTATATCATTCTAAGGATTCTCTAGCTACCTTCTCCAAAACTTTCTAAAATTCTCCCACAAACCAGTGCCTACAGCTTCTGAAGCAGATGGTTAGACATAGTCACAGCAATAGCCACACTCCTGGTACCAATTTTCTTAGTCAATTTCTTTACCACTAGGACAAAATACCTGACAGTTGAACCTTTAAGGAGAAAAGGTTTATTATGGCTCATGGGTTCAGAGATTTCAGGCCATGGTTGTCTGGCTCCAAGGTAGAAATGCAATGGTGGAAGACCATGGCAGAGGAAAGCTGCTCAATTCGTGGAGCCAAGAAGCAGAGAGAGGAAGGAGGACCCAGGGACAAGAATACACTTTTCCAGGTCATACCCCCAGTGACCAACCTCCAGCAAGGCCCCACCTTCTATTGGTACATTCAGCTATGAGTTCTTCAATGGATTAATCTACTGAGGAGAATAGCGTTTCCATGACCAAATATCTTTGAAAATCCCCATCTCTGAACACTTGAGGATTGGGGGGCAGATATTTAAGTTCTATACCATAATATGGGCAAGACATTCAACATATAAACTTTGGGAGGCACAATTTAGCATATTAGGCAGGAAAAAACACTGTTGTCATCATTTTTTCAATTTATATTACTATCTTTGCTTTAAAACTATCTGCAAATGAAATCATATATTCTGATTACTCTACTATGTCTGAATTCTTTAATTTGGTATAATGATAAAATGCATCCTTTTTTATAAATCAGTAATTTGTTCCTCTTTATATAATTGTACTGTAAATTACAATTACTTCAGCATAAAATACTAATACTGTAATATTATAAAATATGGAGTTTTTTTCTTTGCTTTTTCCATTACATGCCTGTACACTTGCCTGATAAAGAAATTTTTGCTATTTCTAGGTTCGGCTATCTTGAATAAAACTGCTATGAACATTCTTATACAAGGAACTCTGTGAACATTCAAACTGTTGGCTTAGAGTATGGGGAGATATTTAATTTTACAAAGCAGGAGGAAGAACTTCTTTCCAAAGTGCTGGTTCTATTTTATACTCCTAGCAGCAATGTATGAGTTTTAGTTCTGAATCAGAGTCTTAAAATCTGGCTACTTTGGAGTGACCCCTCCTGTGACAACCTTACAGAACATCCAGCTCACTCTTTAGATAAGAACCTGTCCAAGCAGCATGTTAGTGAAAAGTCCCAAACACTTTTGCCTTTGTATCTACCAAAGTATTCATAGCAAAATATCTCCAGTAGAATCCCGATGTGAGCATGATAGAGTATTAAAGTCAGGCCACTGCTTCCTCACAAAGGATTTGCTATACTTTGCATGAAATGTACCCCAAAAGCTCATGTGTTGAAGGCTTAGTGCACAAGGCCCCAATATTCAGAGATGGGGATTTTGGATCACTAGGGATCTGACCACATTAAAGTATTAATCCATTCACGGGTTCATAATTTGATGGGATATTGGGATGTGATGAATGCCTGGGGGAGAACCTAGTTGAGGAGAGCAAATTATTGGTGACATGCCATTGAAGATCATATTTTAGTTTGGCTTTCCTCCCTCCTCTCTCTCCCTTCTCTCTTCTTGATTGTATGCTACAGCTTTGTACTGAAAATAAAGTTGCCTGAAATCAACAAAAGTTTATTGTCTCAGTTCAGGACTCAGAGATCAAAGAGACTTTCAAAGTTTATTTTGAAGGGCTGAGATGGAGGATCTGCTCCATGCCTCTCTCCTGCCCCCTGGTGGTTTTTTTAAACACTTGCGCACCATAGCTTGGAGAAGTATTGCCCTGAGCTACACCTTCACCCTCATATGGTCCTCTCCCTGAGTTCATGTTCTTTGAAGTCAATTTCCCCATTTTTAAAGACACCAGTCATTTAAATTTAGGATCCACCGTAATGACTTCCTCTTAACTTAATTACATCTGCAATGACCCTATTTCTAAACAAAGTCAAAACCATTGAACTATAAGGAGGAGTGGGAACACAGTTTAACACATGCCATGGGTTTAGCTGTCAAAGCAAAGTGCAGTTTCAAGAGTAAATGTGCCTTGGAGGATCACCACATGTTCAAGGCCATCCTGGGCTACATAAACCAAACCAAAACACAACAAAACAAAAGAGCAAATCTGCTTGAATTGCTCTTAGGATAGACTAGGTAACACTTCCATAATTAGTCATCTTAATTATAAGTGGATGAATAGCAAAAGATTTTTTTTACTACTCAAGCGAGGTCATTGAGAGCAACAAGACTTTGTAAGACAGTTGTTCCTCTGTCCTGTGGCTGAGCTCCCAGACTGCTTCCACCTTCAGCAGCCACAGCCAGGGCAGAGAAGGCTGGGATCTGCACGGAGTTTTCCCTGCCCTCAGCCTGAAGGGACCACTGTAGCAACACCTGTGTTTGAAGCTGGCTCAGGGATCCACACCTGTGGGGGTCTAGTGAGTGAGGCACAGAGGCTGTTCAGCAACAATAGCCTCTGCTGCAGCTGAGGTTGAGGACTCACGTCAGGGATATTTACTTCGCCCATTGAGGTAGTAATTTCTTCCCACAGGCTGGAGAGCCGGAAAAGACATACAGTGAGCCCTTAAGTTATGACCAGCCTGACATGCAAACAAATTGAGTTAGAATTGGAAGTTTTAACTTAAGACCAAAATTTTGAGTTATGACCTGATTGCCGACCACTTATGCTTCCAGATGGTCTCAGCTACAGATTTAACATTTAAAGAGCTCTGGAAGGAACATTACAACATCATTTCCTGCCTGGGGTTAATTGAGAAATCCTGGGCTGATGTCCATCTAAGGACACTGAGGACTACCTGTATACAGGAGAGAGTTGGAAGGCTGTGTAGAGGAGCCCAAGCCTTCAATTAAAACTGGAGTTACGACCAGCCCTCGGGAATGCATTGAAGCCAGGCATGGTGGCGCATGCCTGTAATCCCAGCACTCGGGAGGCTGAGGCAGGCAAATCGTTCTGAGTTTGAGACCAGCCTGGGCTACAAAGTGAGTTCAAGGCCAGTCTGAACTGCATAGCAAGAACCTGTCTCAAACAGACAAATAAATATATAAATAAATAAATAAATAAATAAAAATAAAGGGGCTGGGGATTTAGCTCAGCAGCACAGCGCCTGCCTGGCAGGCGTGAGGTCATGAGTTCAATTCCTGGTACCGGGAAAAAAAAAAAAAAAACCTCAGGAACACATTGAATTCCTAAGTCAAGGGTCCACTGTACTTCTTTTATGAATTGAATCTGAGTCACTGTGTTCATGAAACCTGAAGAATAAAAAAGGCAGCTCCAGGGAGCATTACCTCGCCTGTCTCCAAATAGCTGAAGCCCAAAACTAAGAGAGAAGCAGAGGTTGGATGGCATTGTCAAGAACACCCTCTCTTTCCCTAGGATTAGAAATTGGTAAGGGATGCAAGAGGAGGAGAATGAAGAGGAAGAAGATAGAAGGAAGCCCTGGCCACAGTTATGAGAAATGGAATCTGCCCCTGCAACCTTTTCCCAAGGGGACTGTGGGGATGCCCAAGGGCAGAAATAGGATATAACTTTCATCACTTCCCAAGAGTTTTGCATGACCTCTGGCACTTTGTACGGACTTGTATGAATAAATGGCTCCTGGAGGGAACAAATAAATTGCACTAAATGTTCTTTTCTATTCCCACATGCCACACCTAGCTGAAGAAATTACCAACGTTTGCTAGGTAAAGGCCCCACTCACTATGCAGATGAGTCCGCGGGCTGTCAGAGCACACAGTCCTTGCCCACTGAGGAAGGGGTTGCAGGGCGGGAACTGTGTAGCGTTCACACGCAGAGCTGATGATGGGGATGTACCAGGTCAGCAGCTAAGCCTTGGGAAAGGCTTCAAAATGATCTGAAACACATTTTGGCTGTTCATGGCCCAAAAGACTTTCCAATGCTCACCTCTGTCCTGGGAATGGGCGGGCTAGTCTTTGAGGCTACCACATGACCCACCAACTCCCACCCTCCCGGAGGGAGTAGCTATTTGAAGGCAGCTAGAGCCTAAGAAACTAAGTCGCTTGGCGGTGTCAACTCCAGCATCGTCTGAGAGGTAAATGCCCAGAGATTAAGGCCCAGTCAAGAGCATTGGTGTGGGTGTGAACGAGTGCTTGTGTGTGTTTGTGTATAGCATGGGCTTCAGAAGACTTGGAAAGAGAGGTTGCTGCTAAAGCTCAGGAGAAAAATATTGAGGATCAGAGTCCATAGATGAAATTCTTAAACCTTGAATCCAATGTGGGGACGCAGATAAAACGTCTAATGGTGGGATATAATTTCTGACTTCAGGAACCTCTGGGTGTTTTAGAATGAACTTCTGTCCACCCTCTCGAGAATTTTTAGTCTGATGATGATCAAAGGAGGTTTCGTTGCTATATCATGTGGTGTCTCCAAGGGTCTGAGGCTCGCCTGTGGTCACAGCATTCTGCAGAGCTGGGAAGAGGGAGGAGGTGGTATGTGTGCATGGATTCTTGAAAGCCACTCTCTGCGTTCTAGTGCATGACGGAGGGCTTCACCTGTGTGCTTCAGGGCAACACAGTAAGCTCCAGGGCAGAAACTGGGAATAACTGGGAGAGAAGTCGAGGCCAACGTGTCTGTGACTGTCCATCATAGAGCTCTGAAGATGAACCGCCTCCTGCTGCTAGCAACGGTCATGGCCTCTAGTAAGAGCTGATCCTGCTTTCTGGGCATAAGGGGTGGGCAGCAGCACTGGGAGGGAAACACCCTGATTCCCAGTTCTCTTTTGTACTGCAGCAATCTTCTCTCGCTAGGAGAAAGAAAGAAGCCATGGGGGGTGGGGGTGGGGAGGAATGGAGAGGAGGAAGCCAGGGACGCACACCTTGTCACTAGGCCATTTGCCAACTCTCTTCCAGGCCTAATGTGCGCCCTTGGTAATATTTGGGATTTCCGGACAATGATCCATCTGGCAACTGGAAAAAACCCTTTCATCGCTTATGGCTTCTATGGCTGCCACTGTGGCCTAGGTGGGAACGGATCCCCCAAGGATGAAACAGACTGGTAAGACCAAGCCAGTCTTTTCTGCCCTCTGCTCATTCTTTCCTCTGGCAGGGCTGGGAACTTCAAGGACAGAGCTGGCCTCACAGTGCCTCAAAGTTTCTAGGAGGTCCTAGCCGGAAGGGCAGCCAAAACGTTTTGAACTATGGCCTAGACGGTTCTGAAGTCACTGAATCTCTGTCCAGGGTAAGGGAGGGGGGATGATGGGACAAAGGAACTCTCCTGACATTAGGGGAGGCACGCCTAACAGTTTGTCCTCCTACCAGGTGCTGTGCCAGGCATGACTGCTGCTACCACCTTCTGAGGAAACGTGGGTGTGGCACAAAATTTCTGAACTACAAATTTACTGTAACAGGGGACAAAATCCAGTGCAGTGGTAAGAAAAGGCCCCATGATGTCATTGTGATTCCGTCCTTTGCCTTCTGAGTGTCCCCCCTGCCAGACCCTGTGCCGGGCACCAGCGATAGAGCCACCAAGGAACACCGTCCCTGTCTCAAGAAGCTCGGGGCTGAGTGGGAGGCAAAGAAATTGAGAGCACCGGGTGGGGAAGGCTGCAGTAGGAAGCAAAAGACAGAACCTTAATACATCTTAATATACCTTAGGCTCAAGGAAGCTCCTCAAAGTGGTGACATCTGTGCTGAGTCCCAGAGGCTGCGCAGAGAGGCAGGGAACAGAAGCTTGGCGCGTTCCCAGAGGAAGACATGAGGGGATGGCAGACTGTACTGTGCTGCTAGGGGAAGTGTGAGGACCCGGGGGACGGTGAGACAAGGAGCAAGCCTGACCTTCCAAGCCGGGCATCTGTAGGTTTTGTCCAACAGCAGCAGGAGCTATTTAGCAAAGGAGTGACAGGAGTAGACGTGCAGCTCAGAGGACTCCTTCTGTCTCAGGGAGGTGGGGACATGCTGGAAGAGAGATGGGTCAGCAAGCTGTCACCAACACGCAGACAAGGGAGAGCGACCATGTGGAATAGAGCACCGGGGTCAGGAGGGAGCGGGTGGGCTGCAAGCCAGATGCACTGGAGGACGATCCATTGAGCTTGGTGAGGGCTCGGGAGGGGTGATGATGAGCTCCTGGGGGGATACGTGACTGTGCGGATGGGACAACTGAGGTGGAGATCACAGGAGGAGGTGGGGGTGTGTCGGCAAGGAGCAGCTCTGACTGGAGCACAGGGAGATTCAGGGGGCCCCAGATGCCCCGGGAGCTACACAGCAGGCGGCTGGATGTGGGACCTTGCAGTTCAGGGAGGATCTGGCCTGAGCCACACTCAGAAGTCAGTAACAGGGAGCTCGAATGAGGCGCTCACCCAGGTCTGATTCAAGGCCGGGGAGAGAGCACAGAAGGTTGGACAGAGCACAGGGAAGAGGACCGAGTAAGACATCAAGGGGCCACTGAGAATGAGCAATGGCCATTAACCAGAGGCCACTGAGAATAAGCAATGGCCATTAACCAGTCCCCATAAGGGCTCCTTTGCTTGAGGGACAGGAAGGCCCCTGAGGACTTCAGAGACAGGTGTTCCCATGCAGGGTGAGGCACAGCCAGATTAGGGCGGGTCAGGCAGCGAGTAGGAAGTAGAGGTCATGAGTGCAGGCAACTCTACGGGGAAAGTCTGACTGCAGAGGAGGAGGGACTGGTGGTGGTTGAAGCAAAGTCTCACTGTCCTCAGACAGCGGATCCATGAGTGGGACTCGGAGAGGGCTCGAACACCGGCCACAGCCTGACTTGCTGAGATCACAAATTACTTTTACCTCGTGTCCTCTCCTTGGGCACGTGTGTCTCCACAGGTTTTAGGTCCCAGGCTACCTGATGCCCAGCTAGCTAAGGGGGACGCACGATTCCCACATAACAAGAATTCTAGAAGAGGGTAGCACCATCCCTGGGCAGCTTCTCCACCATGTCCCGGTGCTATTCCTCAGCTAGACCAAGTGGCTGAATCTACCCTTGTGCTGTCAAGACACACCTGTAGCTCCATACATCATGGCCTCAACTTTACAGCAGGCTTTCCCACTATGCCAGTTTTTGGAGGGAAGAAATCCATGCTTCTCAGAAGGCCCCATCAGACTTCCCCTGTGGCTCACTGACCAGAACAAGATTGCCTGCTACGCACAAGCCAATCCCTGCCAAGGACAGAGGGAGGCCCGTGCCTGGCTTTTACTGATTATTATCCATTCCTGGGCCCCTGGAGCTTAGATTGGCCACCTGGACATGTCTAGTCACAGATGGAAGGGAGAATCATTCCTCAGAAGTCCTCTAGCCATCTCGGAGCTTGCTGTTATATCCCTGTTAACAGGAATTCTCCCTCCCCTTGGGAAGAACTAACTGGAACAGGTCCTCCCTCATAAGAAGCCACAGAATTCAGGGGAGGAGTAGAGACAGGGTCTTACTATATAATTCCTGCAGGCCTTAAACTCTATGTAGCCCAGGCTGGCCTGAGACTCATGAGGATTCTCCTGCCTGAGCCTCCCAAGTGCTGAGATTACAGGTGTGCATCACCACCCCTGGCAAGGAGCTACAGATAATTAACAAGCCCTCATCCAGTTATTATTTTCTTCTAATTTCAGCAAACCAAGACTACTGTCAGACTCAGGTGTGTCAATGTGATAAAACTGCTGCCTACTGTTTTGCTGAAAACCAGAAAAGCTACAAGAAAAGATACCAGTTCTTTCCCGACCTGTTTTGTCATGGAAAAGGACCCACTTGCAAAAACTCCCTCTTCTCAGACACCTTGCCACACGGTTCTGAGTCTTCTCCTCTAAATCCACTCCCTCTTTCAATCAAATTCCTGAAGGATAAATAGCCAGCCAGCAGCCCTTCTGTCCTCACCCAGGAGGAAAATCCCAATGCGTGGGGTCTGTCTGACTGGCCTCTTTCCTCTGCTGCCTAGGGCAACAGATTCCTTACCTCCATTGATGGTTTCCCACCATGTCACTCTTTCAGCTTAGCAATAACAGCTACATTCCTGATGGAGGCTCTTCTGAATAAAAAACTAATATACAGGCCTTGCATGTGTGTGTATGTGTCGTCATGATTGTGTATTCACCCTCTGTCCTCTTGGTATAAGATCATATGAATACAACACACTATAAAGGTTAAAAATACATGCTCTGGAGTCAGACTCTTTCAGTGCAATTCCCCTACCTCACTTCCCCAGGCCTCAGTTCTCTATAAAAATAGAGATCACTTTAGTGCCTCCTCCTTAGCTTATTTGAAAATTAAGGTAGACACCAGTTTTAAAGCACTGGATCTGGTATGGTCATATCTGCCATCCCTGTTAGGAGTAAAACACAAACATACCTGCCCCCTTCCCTGGGGATGTCCTACAATAACAGAAATTACAGAAACAGGAGTTAGAATTCTACTAAACAGTAAGGACAGCACACCCAAAATGGAATCTGCTGAGTCACAACCCTCAGGGATCTTATGAAAACATCTACCAGGTGTGCTGTGGCTGTGAAGAATCTTCCCAGAGAATGATCAGGCAGGCTCCAGGGTGGGTACCATGTGAACATTGTATAGATTTGACCCTGAAAAGTATATAGTTCCCTAAAGGGTAGAGAGTACAATTCTTATACAATAGCCTTTTACAATAAACCACCCCATACTTTTCTACTGTAAATTTGCACTTTAGCATAAAAGGAACCAGCTGTGTGTCTCAGTAGGGGCACCTGAGGGATACAGGGAGCAATCTTCATGTTTACCCACTTCGTATGACAAAACATCAAGGTGTGTGCACATGTACAAAAGTGTCAAACTGGGATTTTTACCCGCATAATGCTCAGTCTAACAGGTTTTGCATATGTGTACCTGAGCATCACTTGGGGGGTAAAATATACCCACACCATACTTTTGTTTTATAAACACGTATTTTATGATAAATGGAATATTGGTGTGACTCACAGTTGCTGCACTTGGGGAAAGCAAAAACCCACTTGTGTATTCACCCATTTGGCAGATAAATGGTAAGGTGTATACAGAAGAAGGTGAGTTTTACCCTTGAAATGTTCATTGCTAAATTTCTGTGCACTTAGGATTTTTTAAAGTTTTCTTCTTTCTGTTGAACCTCAAATCTTTAAAAAAAGAAGAGTAAGTCAAGCCTGAAGCTCATATGAAAGAGTAAATTAGAAAGATCCAAGCAGAAATTAAGGGAATAGACACTAAGAAACAATACAAAGAATCAATGAATCCAAGAGTTGGTTGTTTTAAAGATTAAATAAAATCAACAAAACCTTAGCCTTCCTTATCAAAAGAAGGAAAGAAAAGACTCAAATCCATGCAATTAGGAATGAAAAGGGTGAAATCACAACAGGTCCTGCAGAAATTTGGAAGACCTTCAATACCTACTTCAAAAACCTGTATTTTAATAAGACAGAAAACAGAGAAAATGGAAAGATTTCTAGATACATATGAATTATCAAAGCTGAATCAAGAAGACAAAAAAATTTTAGATAAACCCATATTAGTTAGTGAGATTTAAAATGTAATTAAAAACCTACAAACAAAGAAAAACCCAGGTTCTGAAAGATTCACTGTTGAATGCTACAAGAAATTTAGAGATCTAATGCCACTACTCCTCAAGCTCTTTAATGAAATTGTAAAGGAAGCAATACTCTCAAATGTATTCCTGGAAGCAACAATTACCCTCATAGCAAAACCAGAGAAGAATCCAACCAAAAAAGAGAACTACCAGCTTACTGCCTTAATGAACACAGATACAAAAATCCTCACCAAGACACTGGCGAACAGAATAGAGCAAATCATCAAGAAATTATGTGCCATGACCAAGTAGGACTCCTCCCAGGGATGCAGGGATGGTTCAACACGCACAAATCAATAAATGTAATACACCGTATCAACAGAACAACATGATCATCTTAACAGATACAAAAATGGCTTTTGACAAAGTCCAACACCCATTCATGATAAAAACTCTACAGAAAATTGGTATAGATGGCCTTTATCTCACTCTGATTAAAATCATTTAGGACAAATCAATAGCCAAAATCATACTAAATGGACAAAAACTGAAAGTTTTCACTCTAAGACCAGGAACAAAACAAAGATGTTCACTGTCACCACTTTTATTCAATATAGTTCTCAGAACATTAGCCAGAGCAATTAGACAAGAGAAAGAAATAAAAAGAATAATGATAGGAAAGGAAAAAGTTAAATTATCACCATTTACAGATGATATGATACTCTACATAGAAGATCCAAAAAACTTGACCATAAGACTTCTAGATTTAATA